AGACTACATAATAATGAGAATTGGAAAAAAATATATGCTGAATACTTCAGTTGTACTAGTTTTTATGAAATTCGGTATAAACTACATACAGTATTTTTCTTGTTTACATGAATATGGTCTTTTCAGTTGTCCCAATGTTTATAACAATAAACAATATAATAATAATAACAATATTTATTTTAGTTTTATAAAGTCACCTCCACTGACCATTAAGGTTCCCGAAAAGGCCTCAAAAAGGCCCACGGACCACTAGTTCATAATCACAGTTGTAGCTTGTTTTGTGGCTCCGAACACATTTTGTTAGTGAGACAAAGAGCACAAATGGCTCTTTTGATCATAAAGGTTGCAGACCGCTGGTTTAGTGAAATGCTCCATGCTAAAAACAATGGTTCTGGGGGACAGCATGGATCGTGCTTCTGGTACAGATCAGGCAGCCACAGGCAGAATTAATCTGCCTTTTTTCCTGGTTTTTATGTCACGTAGAACAAAAAACTAATCAATAATTCTCTACTTAGATTTTTCAGCCATATCGCCCAGACCTACAACCATTACTACAAAAGAGAAAGGTGATTTAAGAAGCCCTTTATGGTCCTGGAGTGATCCAGCCAGTCTCCAGACCACAGTCCTGTAGAAAATCTGTGGATGGAGCCAACAAACGTTCCTTTTCAGTCATTTCACTCAGTACAACACACAGTTGTATATGGGACACACCTGGCTGAAGCCACCTCTAATCACGTCTTTAGACCGGTGATGTGGTGACGTTGAACGTCGGGTGACAGGCTCCGCCTTCACCCTATAAGTTCGGAGTCACCAGCATCATTACTCAGTTCTATCGCCTTTCACCTCGCGATAGTCACCTCTAGACCTGAGCTCACATAGCTGCTGCTAGTTAGCTCAGCTTCTAAGGTTCTTAGGCTAGCTTTACTGGTGCTACAGTAACCGCGTTACCTGCTGGTTCGTGTGTCTGCCGCTCGACGCTACTTAAGTGATCTTTATTTTCTGCTGAAAATCTGTTTTGTGGTTCAYGATGAGCACAAAACCACCTTCGAAGAAGCCGAAGTCTTCTGTTCGCCCCTGTCCTCAGGGGTGAGACTTTAAGCTACATGAGAAGGACCAGCATGAGGCCTGCCCGGCCTGCCTAGGAATCATTCACGCTCGACGGGCACTTGTGGAGCCCGAGTCCTGCCGGGCCTGTGCCGGACTTTCGCGTCCGACACTGGAGAGGAGAGTGAAAATCCTAGAGAAAATGCTGGGGGAAACTGCTGTTTTCTGACAAGACCCACTGCTCTCTGAATCCAGCCAGACGGCTCAGTCCGACAAAGATGAGGGTTCGGCGGTTGAAGCCCCCGCTGCTAGCTGGGCGGACCAGATGGAGCACGAGGCGGCCTCACCCGACATCGAGGGGGGCGAGACCCAGTTTCTACTGGATCTAAACCAAGAGGAGGACAATGTTCTGCAGATGGAGCAGGAGGTTCTCAGTCCATGCCCAGCTCACTCCACCCCCGCTGCTGCGAGGGTGGACCAGGAATCGTCCTTCTTGTCCCTGTGCCGCCGAGCTGCTGCTAAACTGGAGGTACAGTGGCCCTACCCTACACCAGCTCAAAAGCCGTTGAAGTTCGCAGGGTTTTATCTCCCTTCTGAACCGGCTGATGTGAAGCACCGTCTGCCTATGTTTAAGGACTTTGTGTCGGAGCTGACATCTTCCTGGAGCAAAGCGCTGTCCATCCCGCCTTCGTGCCCGGACAGGGTCAGTACTTGGATGTGGAAGGG